AAAAAACTCAAGAATGTCTTTCTCAGAATACAAATGCTTCTTCTTTTGTTGCTTTTCTCTGATCACAAAGAAAAAAAAATCTGAGGAATCATAACAAATTTAAAAGTACTTTCGAAAGTTCCAAACGCATGATTTGTTACTGTTTTTTCCTTTCTTCTTTGACTAACATATACTTTTTAAAAAACAATGTTCTCAAGACCATATTTTACGAGCTGGTAACACCGATATCTCAGTGATCTACAATGTAATGATTATAATTATTCCTTACACTTTCTTAAATACATTTTTGAAATAAAGCTTTATACTATTTTATTATTTACTATTCGATAAGTATGCTACTTTTTGAAAAATAATCTAAGCCAAATTTGCTAGAACTCTTTAATATATTACATTATATTCGATACATTTTGCTTGTTTTTTTGTTGAAAAACTAAATAGATACTATGAAATCTTTTTCCTCTATATTTATTCTTGTTTGTAAGTTAAAGGAGTAATAATGATAATTATTTTGCTTATTTTATTATCTTATAAAACAGTTAAAATCTAAACATAGTATGTTATTAGTTGTATTATTTTAGGTAATGGAAATATATAATGCGCGGAGAAATAAATTCTGCTAAAATTATCTCATTGTAGTGACATTTCTGGTTGAAAAAACTATAGTTCTGATTAATAAAATGACAATTCTGTTCATGTGGTTACTGTTTAAAGAAAATTCCAGTTTTCAAAATTATAGTTCTTATTACCAAACATTTAGTAAATATTACAAAACTGAAAAATAATTTAAACCGAATACATGGCTTTTATGACATGTTCAAAGGTATCATAATAAAATTTTCAAATTTCACTCCATTTACCAGATTGTATCATATATCATAAAACCATATTTTTAATTTTACCAAAATCATTGTAAAAGTGCTTCTGTAAAAATTATAGAGCTCTTTGGTGTTCCTATATAGCCAGAACACGGTGAAATTTGCTATATTCTGATAGTTTTGGTCACACTTTTTTTCTCAGTGTGTTAATAATTACTTCAATAATAAAACTATTAAGTGTTAATGGTTGCAACTCTAATATTAATAATTTATAATACTTTATGGATATAAATATTAATAATTTATTTTGCTAGTAAAGATGTGAAATGTTAATGGTAACATACATCATAAATACTAAAAATTCTAATAGTTAAAACTTTAATATTAAATGCATGAACTATTAATAAAAGTATACTTAATAATGAAGTTACAAATAACTTTGGTAAAAATAATATGTTAATGAAAGTAAATTTAAGAATAAAGATATGAAAAAGCTGCTAATAACTTCAATAATATCTATATTAAATGGTAATAGCAATAAATTTGATAATATTTACATAGAATATTTACTGTAATATCATCTTTAACTCATTGGTTTTTGAAAAAGCTTATCGTCTCAGAAAGTTTTAATCATTTTAATTAGTATCAAAACTTAGTTGCAAAATAAACTATATCAAATATAATATTATTTTATATATAAAGTATAATATAATATATAATTATAATACATGAAATATAATATGCATAGTAAAATATATAATTATGTATATATAAGGTTTAATCTGTATCAAANTAATTATAATACATAAAATATAATATGCATAGTAAAATATATAATTATGTATATATAAGGCTTAATTTGTATCAAAGAAAACAAATAAATAGGCAAAGGTCAAAATTTAAAAAAATATTCAAATTAATCCTCTTTGATCTCGAATATCTTAAAAAGATTTAATAAGCTTTTAAAATTATTAATTTTACATTCTCAGTATTTTATTCAAAAGTAATAAAAATTAAACTAAGATCTCAGCATCAATAAAATTAAAGTATCAGCCAAAAATATCAAATAAGGAAAATCTATATTTGGTTTAGAGAAAAGAAAAATTACTTTACAATTATTTTATCAATTAATAATAATTAAAAACTAATAGTAATTTTTGTAATAAATATCGCAAACTTGAAAAATTGAAGCAGATTTGATATTTGTGTTACATACATAAACTCGCAATTTAAAGTTTTTAATTAATTAAATTAAAGAAAAAAGCCCATGGAACTAGTAATGAACTATCAGATATATATAAATATTCCAAAAATTGTTAAAACTCCAAAGTACAAATATTCTTTATGTTATAGGTTTCTATTAGGATTTTCGGTTTGTTCAAATTCAAATTAAAATATTTATTAATGTACCACATATAATTAATGCGATTCTAAAATTATTGTTGTCGTTAAAATGGAGTGAAAAAAATGAGAGAAAACAAGATAAACTTACCTTTTGGCAAGTTTAAAAATAAATTTTCTCAACTATTAGAATTCGAATAACTAGTAGAAACTATGATAAAACTGTTTTTTTTTGTATAAAATGTTCAAATTATTAGAATTCATCCAAAGAAATAGATTAAAGCTTTTCTTCTCATTCACTGAACCATTTATGAATCAGGGAGCAGAGACGAAAATAAGAGGACTGTTTCAGGTGCAAACAATTTATCTCTTGCGCTTCTTGGAGCGCTGCAGTCGCTAAAGACTTCGATTCAGAGCAACACTTGTCGAAAATTAAAAAGTTTAAATTTTGTTTGCAGTGAAAATAAATAAACTGAAGTTTCGTAAATGAAATGTTGCGCTTTGTGGAGCGTGAATTTACATCTGGATACTTTTGCACTAATTATACAAATTCAAAATGAAATTCATTTTTATTTTGAACTTAATTAAAAATTTTCCTATTATAAAAATAATTGTGAAAAATGTTTAACGCTTTTCTTTTAAGCGTACTTGCATACATTTATAAATAAGTTCATAAAATGCAAATTTCTGTAAAATTACGGAAATTACAATTAGGTTCTAGCAATATAGGAAAGTAAAACAAAAATTATTTATTGAATAGAAATAGTAATTTAAAAAAATTCAAAAAAGAGTGACAAAAATGGTCGTTAATTTCGTTTAATAATTGTCAATATAATCAAAACTTAATAATAAATGCAATTTTAGCTTTTCCGGTTATAAAACAATACCAGAAAGAATTTCAACAATGTTGCGAAAATTCTGCAAGTTTTTATAATTTTCGTCGAAAATGAAAAAGTACTTTTGTTTGAAAATTGGCATCCATTTGTAATAATGAAATCATGCAGACTTGACTGTTTTTACAAAATTTATTTCATATTCGGACAACAACAAAGCTATTTTAAAACGTTAAAAATTTACTTATTTGTAAGATGTAATGAAAATTTAATAAATTTATTTAAATTAAAATTTTTGCTTGTTTTAAGAGAAGAATAAAAAATAATAATTATATATGTAGTAATAATTTACCATTAATCAAAGACATGAAATATGATAAATCATTTAAATTGATGCATTAAAATACCTATTTAAAACTCAGATTTAGTATAAATATATTTAAAAATGCATCTTTGCTGTCATGATGTACTCAGATTCCTCCAAGCGTGTCTACAACTCAAAATTTTAAGACACGCATTTCATAAAAAAAGAAAAAAAAAAGACTCACCACTCTCTAAGGGGCAAAGGTGAGCCAACGAATACCCAAAATACAAATGCCACACTTCTGAAAATAAAAAAGATTTTGAACTATTCGACCCTGTCATTATTCATGGGTGAAAAAGGAAAGTTCTTCTTAGTACAATTTTACTTGGAAAACTGGAGATGACACATTGACAAATTTAAACATAAACCAAGTTTGAAAGATCAGAAATTAATCTATAACGAAATCAAAATTTTTTTAAGAACTTGAAGAACAATTAATGGCGTTAGCGAATTTGTAGACATTAAAATATGTTTGATTGCCGAAAGACTATCTCGCTCTCACTTTTACAGCAACACAAAAAAGAAAATTTTTTGTTTTTCTAGAGATAATTGCAATTCAAATTACTTATTCAAAGACTGTATAACTACTTAAAATTCACTGTAGTATTACCACAGATTTATTCACAGTATACTACAGTAATTTTGTAGACAATAACCAATTTTTTTATTTTTTTGAAGTTAATTCATATCATCTGCTGAAGTATGTTTACAGTTAAGTTCGCACTACAAAAAATTTACAGTTGACTGTAGCACAACGTCAAAAATACTTAAATTCTGAAAAAAAATCAGCAGTTTATTTTTAGTTAGGCTCATTTCGTAATTTTTCCGTTCCTTATGGGAACAGCTTATTGTAAATTTCGGTTTACAAACTATATTTCTTATTACAACACAGTTTGTAAAAATGCAAAACTAAACACTAAATTTTACCGAATGAATCTTTTTCATTACATGCTCTAAAATACCATTACACCATTGTACCAAATACCATTATACCATCTACCATAGTTTTACCATTTATATTGCAGTTTTAACAATTTGATGCCTGTGCCTTCTATCAAATATCAAGGTAATCGACTTTATGATCTATGGTTTATTTAAGAAGCCGGTTTATTTAATGGTTTAGGAGAGTTAGTTATAAGTTAATTATTTTTTTCCTAACATATATTTCAGTTATAACGGAAAAAATGGGCCTGAATGATGACCCTCGTGCTGGTGTCACCACCTTGCCGTTGTGGGTGAGCTCACGTGTGTCTTTGCCCCATTAAGATATGCCGGTGGTAGCTTGGCTATTGGTAGGGCCTCCAAAGCCAGACTGGTGAGGTTCCAGACGAAGAGTAACGCGCACAGAGTAATTGTAAAAGTCCATGCAATACATGCCTCGTGTAAGAAGGATATATACCTACCAACACGTGTCTGGGTTTGATCGAGGCCGAATTGTGACCAACCGAGGTTGCGGTTTATCATACCGAAGTATTGCTGCTCGCGTTGGTCGATATCCCATGACTTTTAGCAGCATATGGAATCGATGGATTCATGACGGTCATATAAAACACCGTGCAGGATCTCAGAGGCCCCCGTCACTAACAGCCAAAAAGACAGACATGTTGTCCACACGGCTTTAAGGGATCGTACAGCTAGGTCACGAACCCTGAGTCAACAAATGGAGTCATTTGCAAGACAACAAGTGTCTGCACGAACAGTTCGACGACGTTTTCAGCAGCATGGACTATAAGCATGGCGACCATACCTTCGGCTACCCTTGTCGCTGCATCAGAGGCAGGAGCGTATCCAATGCTGTGATCAACGACGAACTTGGACGCAGGAATGGCATGACGTCGGCTTTTCAGATGAATCCAGGTTCTGTATGCAGCATCATGATGGCCGCATTCGTGTTTAGAGACATCGTGGAGAACGCCCATCGGCAACTTGCATTCGACATCGTCACACTGGCCCATCAACTGGTATGGGGTGCCAATAGATACATACCCGATCACCTCTTATTCGCATTGCCGGCACTTTGAACAGCAACCGTTACATTTCTGATGTGTTAGGCCCCATTGCTCTACCTTATCTTTGAGGCCGCCATAACGCTACGTTTCAGCAGGACAATGCACGACCGCATGTTGCCCGCACTGTCCTGACCTTTCTTGACACAGAACATGTTCGCCGGTTGCCCTGGCCAGCACTTTCTCTTGTTCTCTCACAAATTGAAAATGTCCGGTCAATGGTTGCAGAATAACTTGCACACCACCACTCGTCAGTCACTAAGTTTGGTGAATTGTGGCATAATGGTGAAGTTTCATGGAATGCCGTACCCGTCCATGCCATCCAACCTCTGTTTGACTCGATGCCCAGAAGAATAACTGCTGTTAATGCTTCCAGGGGAGACTGCTTTGAGTAGTATTGATTCCTGAGGATCTATACATCCATACATCCTGAAAATTTAATCACTTGTTCTTCCAACTATAATGTATGTGCCTAATAAATATCATTCTGTTATTTGAATTCCTTTCTGGTGTAACAATTTTAATGGACAGTATTGTAGTTTCAAACCAAAAGTAAATACTTTGCAGAGGAAAGGGGGGCAATATAATTAGCAATACATATGATATTTATGATACATATGAATACAAAGGGAGAAAACATCTAGATGAGCTGCTGAACTCTGAGCTCCACATAGAGAGTAACGAATCAACAAATCGAAATCTTGAGGTTATTGATTTTTTCTCATTCAACAAAGTGAAAGAGGCTATTAGGAAGCTAAAAAATAATAAATCCCTTGAGCCAGACAGCATTCCCTCTGAATTCTTAAAGGCTTTTAGGCCAAGTTCACACCATTATTCAGAAACATAAATAAATATATGAGTTCTGAAGCGCTACCCATTGAATGGAGTATCATCTGTACGATACACGAAAAAGCAGATATACTTGATTGCAGTAACTATGTAGGAATCTGTTTTCTTGGTTCATCTTGCAAAATTTTATTTTCAGTCCTTTTTGACAGGTTTTTTACCATATGCATACATGGGAATGTAAATTTCAAAGTAACGAGCAAAAGTACAAGCAAAGCATAAGTAACGTATAAAAATATTAAAAAAAGTAAAAATGCAACAAGTAAAAGTTACCAAAAAATAAAAGTACCGATAAAGTATATTTCGAGAAAATCTAAAACCCACATTAACCTTATATTTTATTAAAAATTGCAAGAACAAAGTGTAACATTTTTAAATAATCTGTGTTAAGTACTTGTGAATGTATAAAATTTAAACCTAAATTAATAAAATTTTGAAATTTTTAAAAATAATTTGTCATTTATATTGCTTTATTTGCTAAATAAAACATAATAAATGTCATTAATAATGTTTTATTTACTTTCCAAAATAGTAGAAAAGAAATTAAGAAATTGAAATTTCATGCTTACATCCGAAAAGTAGTTTCAATTTGTCTTAATTTTTAAACAATACCAAAACTTTTTTTTTCTACTTTCGGAAACTGTATTTTAGCAATTAATTTCCTTGTTGGGAATATTAGATAAGATAATATATTTTATTTAAGTTAGAAAATAATTACATTCATATAAAATAAAACTTAAAATCCAATACAGAAAAATTATATTTTGTTTCTACACATTAAAAAATATATTTTGAAAGCTTAATTGATTACAATTTTTCAATTCTGATAAAGATATGATGTATTGAATCCTCTCATAATCAAAATGAAGCCAAAAGTTTTACTTTTAACTATAATAATAGGATGAAACAATATGTTTGCATGATATCATTTAAAAAAGAAGAAGAAAAAAGCAATTTTCATGCAAAATCAAAGTAGAGATAATTCTCGGGTTTTTTAGGGTATACTATTACATTAAACTTAAGCGCATTATTTTAAAACATAGATACTAAGAAAATATTTTCTACAAAATAAAAAAAAAACATTTGGTTTAGCAAAATAAAATTAAATACAAGAGTTATTTAGATTTTCTTTCCTAAATTGCAAAAAATAAATAAATAATCAGAGAGGAATTTTAAAAAGTTCAAAAACAACTTTGGAGTTAAAAAAGAATAAAAAGATCAAAGAATTAAAAGATCAAAGAGAATTTTTGAAAAGTTTGAAAAAAAATTTTCTGGGTAATAATTTCTGCGAAGGCGTTTATAGCGGTCAGCAAAAATATTGCTTGTTAAGCTTAAATAAATGAATAGATACATTGAAAATTTGTAGGAATAAATTTTTTTCCAACTTTCAATAGGAAATCTTGTTTGTTTTTACTTAAAAAAAAAGATTAAGTTTTTAAAGTATAACTATGTATCATCTAAAAATAAATTAAACTGATATGAAAAATGAAGTTTAAGTTACGCCCATTGGTCAATGCTTTCTGGCAGGAAACGAAAAACAGTGGATTTCTCTTTTCATCGAAAATTTAACTATTTTTAGGAGTGTAGCAAAATTGAAAATACATCAGTAAAACATAGAAGATACATCGAGTTTGTAACTTAAACAAATTATTTTCTAAGGAAACAAATGTGTGCCTCCCACGGAAAATTTTTTTCCGTTCTCCTATGCCTTACCTGCTAGTTCTAAGGATTACTTCCAAAGACAAAAAACACGTTTTGACTTGAAATATTTGAAGATCGTTGGAGCGTGTGTGAAAGCAAACCGTGAAACTCACATGCACATGAGTCATTCATCCAAAACGGGATACCAAAGTTGTACACCGATACCGAAACACCGATGTCAAAAGGAGTATAGCCTCCTAATGTTTAAAGATTGGGTTGGGACACTATTTTTCTAGAAAAAGGTTTACAAACATCATATACTTTGCTTACGGTGCAATTTTTACCATTCTGAAACTTTTTTTAGAATCTACTGAGATGAACAATTCCTATTCAACACCGCAGCTGTTCAAGTCGTATATCAAGACTGATTCTCAGAAAATGGATTATTGTTCTTCCTAATAATACTCATACTACCCAAATAGTCAATCACTCAATATTTTCTTCGCTAGTCGTGTTAGTAAAGATGTTTTTCCTTCCCGGTAAAAAAATTGAAATCCTTAAAGATGCTTCGTGAAAAAAATAAGTTAGCTGTTTAAGAATGGCATTGAGCCTGGTGGCCGGGTGGTTAGCGTGCCTGACTGCGGAGCCGCTGGTTGCGGGTTCGAATCCTGCTCAGGGCATGGATGTTTCTTTCTCTCTGTCCATAACGCCACGGGTGCCCCCTGGGTAACGAGAAGAGAGTAGCATTTCTGGCATTTTTGTGCCAATGGGACAAACCACAAGTGCCCACCATTAAAAAAAATTACATTACATTAGATTTATAATTTTAAAAAAATCAAAATTTTCAATTTCTTTAAAAAGAAATTAGAAAGTTTCAGAAAAAAAAATAACGATTCTTTTACAAACTTTCAGTTACACATACTTGTCAACTAATAAAAGTACTAAAATTTAAAAGTATCAAAATACAAGTAAAAGTACGTACTTTTTACTTGGGTTTAAATTAGTGAAAGTAAAAGTGTTGCCATATATGACCATATGTCGCGACCATATGGGCATATATGACCATATAGGCAAAGCTGCTCCACCGCGGAGGCTTCGCCACAGGTGCCCACTGGGTAACGAGAAGAGAGTAGCAGTTCTGGCATTTCTGTGGCCAATGGGACAACCCCCAAGTGCCCACCATTAAAAAAAAATGACATTGCATTAGATTTATAATTTTAAAAAAATCAAAAATTTCAATTTCTTTAAAAAGAAATTAGAAAGTTTCAGAAAAAAATAACGATTCTTTTACGAACTTTCAGTTACAAATACTTGTCAACTAATAAAAGTGCTAAAATTAAAAAGTATCAAAATACAAGTGAAAGTACGTAATTTGGTTTAAATTAGCGAGAGTAAAAGTGTTGCCATGTATTGTTGCCATATGTCAAGAAGTGCCATATGTCAAGAATGTTGAAAGTGCTGTTTTGCTCCTGATGAGAAGTGTAGCAGCTATTCTGGATAAAGAAACAGTAAAGGCAACTTTTTTTTGTTTTCGTATCTGGGATAGTATTAAATTGGTAAGGGACGTCTTTCTTTCGCTCATGTTAACAGGTAAAGAAAAGAAAAATATATCACGGTGACAATTAAATTCATAAACGAATAATAAGACTGTAGAAGACAATGACGAAAAAGAATTATATTTCAACAAATTCGATGCGTCCAACTGCGTAGTATTTAATTAATTTCATGTTAATTGACATTCTAACTAATGTGGATGAACTTGGATCGTTTTACCATGCCGTTATGCTTATAAATGATCAGCTGATGGCTCAGGAGATAGAGCATTCGCCTTCCAATGAGGTGAACCAGCAATCCAAGCAACTGCTGGTCAATACTAATTCCGCATCCGGCTTGTACCTGTCACAGCGCTGACGTAAAATATCCTCAAAGGTAAACGGATAATGGGTTAGAGTACCCTTGCCATCAGGCTAACCGTGTGAGGTTTTCGTGGCTTTCCTCTCCGTGTAAAGCAAATGCGGGTAAGTTCCATCAAGAAGTTCTCCACGAAGGCAAATTTCTCCCAATACTTGATCCAGGAGTTTTCTCGTCTTCTGGATTGGGTTCAAAATTACAATGCAATGAAATTGAACATTTGTAGTCATGAACATTTGTAGTCACATTTGTAGCCCGAAAAAAATTGGGTCGGCTGTTCAACGACGGTTATAAAATAAAAAACAATCTGCTGGTTCTGACGTAATAGGTCAAATGTGTAGGTATCTATGATTATCTTCTTCCTTTTGAAGTTTAAGTACCCAATTGATAAAGATCTTTTAAACAAAATAAATATGCGGTTTGGTGATGTATTCCTCCTATGCTAGCTCGATCACGCTGATCTTTCAGATAACCTGGCATAACGAATAAAAAATAATTAAGTATTACATAACAAGTAATAAACAACCTTTTTTATTAGAGCTATAAGCTAA